CAATGCCAAAAAGAACAGCAACAAAAACAAATGACCTTATTGTGTTGCAAATGCCGTAAAACTCTTACTAAAGCTAAACTAAAAACAACAACAACAGCAACAACAACAACCACAACAACGACAACAACGACGACGTCGACGACGACAGCAACACTTCTTCTTCAGGTGTCAGGTGTGGAGCAGACATTGATGGTTTTGGTTCCCCACTCTTTCCTTCTGTCTGTCTTCTTGATCAGCTCGATTTTTCTCTTTGTCTTATTTGTTGCAAAGTTGTTCAGGCTGCCTGTGCAATTGTTCTTTTTCTCCCTCTGCTCCTTTTTCCCCTACATCACTACATTGAGAAAAAGGGGCACACACCTGAAACGCCGCTGATGGGGTGAACTGTGCTATAGCCGTCTTTTCACAGAGGCTGTTCAACACGGCTTTGCGTGGGGGTAGGCCTTCTGTCTCTAATATTACAGAGAAGGCAGCCTGCAAGAATATAAATATACATGTACTGACTTTGTAGTGAGTTCAATGAGAGATTTTGAGAGGAAACATGCTCGCAAAATTAAGGCACGTCATAGCAAGCCATATCGAAAGGATTTTACAGTTACGTCAGAGATATTCAAACAATTTATTGACAAGGTAGCGAATTTGCTCCGTGGTTTTTTTCTTGGTAGATTTGTGAGTGTAGATATATACAAAGTATAATAAAGATAAAAAGAAGAGGTGTTTCGTAAAATTCGCATATTCGTAAAGAGATCATCAATTGATATATACAGTGGAGTCCGCTTTAACCGAACAAGTTATTCTGATAACAGCAGTTCAGTAAACTACTGTAAACTGAAAAATAATAAAATCCCCGAATTTTCTTCTTCTTTTTGAGCAACCTTTTTACACCGAAAATTCTCTTAATTTTAAACCGAAGAAAATCCGGTGTTCCTGCAGATTTCGGTTTATTAAGCGGTCTCCACCGTTGTGATGCTCCCACGACTCATTTTTCCATGGGTCGCCTAAATAGGGAAGTGGGAAAACGATTACGAAAGTGAAGGCGCGCGACTGTTCAAGACATTCAGGGCAATTAACTAGTCAGTGGAAAAGTGTGCGACAACAAGATAAGTTGACCCTGCTCTGACTCTGACGACTACCTGTTCAGCAAAATCTCTTGTACAACAAACGCGAACTTCCCATTTCACCCCTTGCGTTTTATTTTCTGTATGTATTATAGTGGCACAGTCCAAAAGGCTTTTCGACCTCCTCGACAATTATATTAGGTGGTTGTCTTGGATAGGTTCGACTATCCTAGATGACTATCTTAGGTGACAATGCAACTTATAAATCATTTAAAGACTAAACCACACCCAGAGAACTACATGTATGTATGTATGTATGTATGTATGTATGTATGTACGTATGTACGTACGTACGTACGTATGTATGTATGTATGTATGTATGTATGTATGTATGTATGTATGTATGTATGTACGTATGTATGTATGTACGTATGTATGTATGTATGTCAAAGATATAAAATATCCACATAACAGTGCGTCGCCGTTGAACGATATACGTGTACTTGATAATAGGACAATTTTATAAAAATGTAGTCTTTACACCTCCATTTAGACAATGTGATCATTTTGGAGGTGGGCTGCTTCGACTCTGCCAGCCAGGTCTAACCTGAGCCGAGTGGGATACAACATAGATCTATAGCAGGCAGATGAAGAAACTCGCGAAAAAAAATCAAACTTCACTCTCGGGAATCGAATTCACGACATCTGCGGGCAACGACAAAGAGCCTGACCGTGACCTCACAGGACACCGGAAGTGACTGCCATAGAATCCGTACTAAATAGTGTTAAATAAAAAGAAGAGTAAGGATATTATTATTCTTATTATCCAACCTGAGTGTCAAACACGTTGTTAACCTTGACTCCATGTTGTCTGCTAAGCTCACCTACTGATGAAGGACACCCGTGCATAACCTGGGGGGAAAAAAATTAATGTCAAAATAAAGAATGGCAAGAGGACCACATATAGACTGTCAATATCCTTCCAGCTGTGTATTGCTGAAATGCCAGAGGATGAAACAGAATACAAAAAATATAATGATTCTGTCTGGCTATAAAGACGCAAAGTAATAAGGGGGTGGGGGGGGGGACTAGTTCAATGAATAAACAGGGTTAAATTACAGAACTACATTCACTTGGTTTGACGTAATGCGTAACGAAGAGGTATACAATAGGAAATTTGATCATTCTTCCTGCTTCAATAAAGAAAGCAGAGACGAAACGTATTGTTTTTAAAGGACCAATCGCTGTAGGTTTTTTCAACTCAATTTAATTTGACAAAAGGAACGACAACGCATTCGAGATATCAAATAAAAACAAAAGTAGAATAGTTCGTCCGGCAACTAGGTATCATTAAAAAGTTCTTCTTACACATAGTTTCTGATAATGTCTACGGAAAAACTTACTGAACCACTGTAAGCAGACTAGCCCCCTCCCCCCCCTTTCATGTTTTGTTTTCACTAATAAGCCTTTTTCAGTGTCTGTCTAGTTTTCTGCAATGGCGACTGCACGCGCTGTTTCAACATTTCAAATGGAGTTAAAAAAACAACAACAACCAACAAAAGAAAGCTACAAATGGGATTGATCACAGCTCTCCCCGCTTCTCAAAAACATTTTGCATACGCACATTATGACCTACTTTACATCTCATAAATGACATTCAGTCTTACATTTGTATTAGTGGCAAAACTTTTTGCAAGAAATCAGTTTTATTGTGAGCAGCCTTTTGCATTAAAAGTTCACAAAACATGCTTTGAATAAGCATAATCAAAGATCGTACATATCTATGTTATGTACGATCTTTGGCATAATATCGCGAGTAGGAAAAAGACGGACTTGCTTTTGGGAATTATGACTCAGCTGTAAACCTTTTAAAATGTGTGGAAACTACCCACTGGGATTTTTAATAAGCGCTTATTAACGAATTTTCTGGAATACTGCTAACAGGACGGTGTACACATTGATATGAGTCATGGTGCAAAAGCTGGATACTTTATGTTCCAGTATTTATCTTTGTCGAGATAACAAATAACAACTGATAACAAAAAATAACAACTGATAACAACAAATAACTGGTAAATACAAAATAACGACACTTATCAACACAGACGTCTTAATTTAGTTGCTTTTACTTGGTTTTTAAGGTAGTCTACATTGATACAAGAACTGATAACACTAATAACAGCAAAAAGCAACTGATAACAAAGTAACGACAAATATCAACACAAACGTGCTCACACAATGTGATCAATCCAATAAAAAAACTTTGAAATAATAATATTTTCATCGTCACACAAAACAGTATGGCAGGACTACTTAAAGGTGAAGACATGGTTACATACAACAGGACGTATCGGTACTGAAAGAGTTGTTATTTGTGCTATCAGGTGTTATTAATTGTTATCTCGACAAAATAAATACCCTTATGTTCCATACTCGAGGAAATGTGTCAATAAGTTGTGCCACGAATTTTTGACCAACTATCGAACATTATTTGCAGAAAACAATTGTGTGCTCTTGACATACAAATAGAACCAGCTGCAAAGATTTGTGATCTCGCGTCCAGGATGTTTGTACCGTCAATCAGCCGAGGAAAAACCAAGGCCCTCGTTCGAGCGGGCAGTATCACAAGATAGCCAGAGGCAGTCATTATTAGCTTTGACAAAATTCAACATCTCATATCCCGTCTGACAAGACAGCATTATCTCTGCAAATTGATTGCTGGATAGAGATCACAAGATGACGAGGAGTGAAGGTCTTTAGCCTACTACCCACAACAGCAATAATAATTGTTCCTTCTTCATTTGTCTATGGGTGCAGGACGTAGGGCCCATATCGACGGCACACCAAGAAAAAAGAAGAATTTTATATTAAATCACAGCACATGATCATCCGCATTTAAAATTTTGCTGACGAGACAGAGTTACCAAACAAGAAGAGTTACAAAGTGTTGTATCAACAAACTAAGGGTTTAACTGTGCTTGACATGCCAAGTCATCAGAATGGTCGACATTCTCATCTCCTGGCAACTTTTGTTATGTGAGCTCAAGAGAGTTTTGCAAAGAGGGAAAGGCCTGAAATCCCATGTTATGATAACACCCGGAAAAGCCATCTTAAATAAAGGCATTCAACAGACGCCAGCTAGAAACCCTTTCCTTCGGTCATTCCAGACTCCAGACCGACAGCTACCTTAAACGAAAACAGACAATGGCGTCATGTAAAAACAAGTCATAGAGCATCATTCTCGACAGTAGATCTATGTGGCTACGGTAAAAGTAAACGTTTGCCACCTCGTCCCCTTTCGGAAGTTCTTGACCTTGAACCCGCACTTGGGGGTATCTTCTTTCCGTGAGACCAAAACGTACTGTGTTTTTTAAAAAAAGAACTAGATCTAGTGCAGTTGTTAGAGGAGTACCACTGACATTTCGAACGGACGGGAGCCATGCTTAATGTGTCATTAGTAAACAAAAACGTTGAACAATGAAGACACCAGGTCTAGCCTATTGTTAATCATGGCCTGCTTGTGACCTGGTTATTACCACCGGATCCGACTGACTACCAACACGAACCTAATCTGGCGTATAAAAAATAATACGTGATATCAGGCTAATTAAATCTAACAAAGCTGTTCGAATGGTCGGTAGAGGAAAGGACGGCAAAATGACGATTGAAAGAGGACAACAATGAGTGGATAAGAATATACCGGTTAGAATGTCAAAGGTAGAGGAGATAGACCATTTGGTGTCCGACTTCAAGGTCTTCGTAACTCGAAACGGCCAAAAATGTCAGAGAGAACTTTGTTATCCTAAGGTAGCGAAATATTGCTATAGAAATATGATTATCTCGAGTACTTGAAATAAAACTCCACCTCACGAGAATCGAACTCACCTTTTACCTGCTGAAACATTACGCCACAGACATTAGTGGTAAACGGTATGGGGGTGAGCTTGGTCGTTGCAACATGATCAAGGAAAAATAATACCTCAAGTTTTGTGCCATCAGTTTATGTATATTATCATTTTATTTATAAGTAACACCCGTAATCTACGATTTTATTAACATTTAACTGCAGACTGTATGAAAATATGTCCTTCTTATTGCATTAAATTCACAATTTACCTTTCTTTACGTCTCCCTCTCTCTCTCTCTCTCTGATTCACTTTTCAGCATCATTCTCTGTGTGTGTCTCTCTCTTCTTTCCTCTCTCTATTTCTATCTCCTCTCACTACTTAAGTAATAACACTCCTTGCTGGCGAACCCCGGTCTCCAACGTGACAGAAGAGGATAATTAATACCACTAAACCACCGAGGATAACGCCTTTGATGCAAGATTATAGATATCAGATATGTGGACAAAATGGTTAACTTTACACATCAAGGATACTTTCTGCAGCGGTGTTGCAAAGGTGCGAAGAGACTGAACAGTTCCTTTAGTTTTCATTGAATAATAAAAGTAAAAATGTTCTCTCAGAATTTAAGAAGTCTGAAGCAAAAAGAGAAGTTTGAAAGAGATGGAGAAAATACACAGGGCCATCACCCTCCCCCCCAAAAAAACAACAACAACAACACAAAAAAAACACAAAAAACCACCACCAACAACAAACAAACAAAAACAAAAAAACCCAAAAACAATAAACAACTGTATAATTATTGTTAGTATTTTCCTCTGCACTGAAGTTTTGTGTTTCAAATTTGTGCACAACATTTGGAAGTCAAAAGGAATTTGTCTGATATTTATTTTTAGATAAATGCACAAAATAATTTTGTTCGGCTTAGCCCGTAAAAATACAACCCATTTTCACCTATGTCTCCATTTTTGTAGCATGACGCACTAGTTCGCATTAGGCCTAACATTAAAAATTCCAACGATTGCACCATACTACAAACTATAGTAGTCTAACAGGCCAACAGAAGTTTGCAGATAGTTTTTCTCAAGTTTCCTTTGCCTGCTGAGATCATGGTTAAGATAAATGAAGAGCAGAGATCTTTTTGTACTTAACATTTCCTCACCACCAACTCATTTCGTAAATTCCGCACAAGGTACGGAAATAAAGTTAAAGTGCCCTTAAGGCCTTCTTTGATGTCCAGGGTGGAAGTGATCAATCCGTTAGGACCTGTAAAGAATCAAAACTAAAAATTCCCAGGCAAAACAACCACTTCAGGTCAAACACATACCGTTCGCACCCCTTTAAACATCACCAGGGTGCAGCATTCAGTAGATGAGCTCCATGAGTGAGACGTCTGTCAGCAGACAATGTCTGCAGCAATGACTTTCCCACATCTCAACGGTCAGCATTCTCAAGGCAGATCTTCATCTACGACTGTACCATTTTCCCGTTCGCAAAGCTATCAAAGGACAGCATGACTCCTCGATCGTCTTGAAAAGCGTCAATATTTCCTCTATGACATTTGATTCCTTGGCAATGACTATATTCACCTTTCAGGTTACATCATTTTCAAAAATGCTGTCTATTTGGACACCCCCCCCCCCCCTTATTGTCTCTGGAAACAGCTCCATTCTACATGTATAAGGTGTGCAGTGTGTGTAGCTTTGAGTACTCATGGTTGACTGGATCCTTGCGTTTGGCCACCACTGAACATTTCGAACGTCGCGTTAAAATGTGTCGAGTCCAATGGAGAACATATAATAATATAGACCATTGCTTCTCGGAATTTCAGAATTTAAAACAATATTTTTTAACTCTGTAGGAGAAAAGAACTATTGTTTAAAGGCTACAGGGAAGGAAAGATTAGGTTTTAAAAATAAAAAGAAAGGAAAAAACAACAAACCAATCATTTCATGACTTTACTTTCAAGATCGTTTAAATTGGTGCATTTTGCATTTATATATAGGTGGTTTTTATAAAAGGCATTTTCATTTTCAAAAATAAGTTTCTTCTTTGTGAAATTAATGT